CTGCAGAGAGCTGAAAATATCACAAATTTACCCCATCCTACTGAGAAGTCATAAGATAACTTATTTATCTGAGCAATATTTTTTTAAAATAATTTGGCTGTGGAATGTCTGAGGACTCTGGGGGACCTACATAGGACACAGGGTTTGCACTCTGTCCACCACAGTATACATCTAAATTTGTAATTTATGAATTTGTAGTGTTTGAATACCAATATTCTGCAAGATACAAGGTTCCTTAATTGTTTCCATTTTTGTTATAGGTGGTGGGGATGAAACTAAATTTAATCCCATTGGGTAGAGACATTATAAACAATCAAGAATATTACTGGAGCAGTCTTTTTTAAATCCTTCATGAACTGGCATTTTAAATGGCTCTAGAGACTGTGTAGGAAAGTAAATAGACATTCAGCTGGTAATATCTTACTGGGTGCTGAAATGAAATTAGCAAATAATTGAAAAATTCATTAAAAGCCTTCTCTAAAAGAACAGCAAAGGAAAACGTGCAGATTAACGGCAATAATTAAGCTGAGGTCTGGTAGCATTAATGCTTCGATGAGCAGCTCTTTTTTATATAGATCCTGGAAAATTCTCTTTTATTGGATTGAAAACCATCCAAGAATTAATGTAAATACATGATTTTATTAGCACTGTAAAGCTAACATTTACCTATAGGTTTTCCCTCTCTCTCAGTTTCTGTGCACGTGTCTGTGTAATAGAGTGAGCAAGAGAGAACAAGAGAGAAAGAGCATATTTGACTTATTTACTTGAAACATACACTAAATTAGCTTTCGTTTCATCTAGTCTATATAGTCATTACTGAATGAATTTCCCATCCCTTTCCAGAGAACACCAGGGCCTGAATAGAGAGACCTTATTTATGCAATGCATAGGCTCTGCCCACTGACAGAACTTTTCCTGAAGAACACTGACTAGTCTATATAGTCATTACTGAATGAATTCCCATCCTTTTCCAGAGAACACCAGGGCCTGAACAGAGAGACCTTATTTATGCAATGCATGGGATCTGCCCACTGACAGAACTTTTTCTGAAGATCATTGGCTTCCTCAAATATAGTGTGCAAAGAGGCCCTTACATATTTTTATAGATGGAGGGCAGAATTTTGTTGAGAAAAATCATGCACACGAGGGCAGTCACATGTCAGTCTTCTCCTTAACCATGGGTTACTCAGGTCTTTTTGAACTGCAACTCCCAGAAACCCCAGCCAGCACAGCTGGTGGTGAAAGCTTCTGGGAGTTGCAGTCCAAAAACACCTGAGTAACCCAAGGTTAAGAACCACTGACATGGATGGTTCTCTCTATGATGGGCTGCCCTTCTCACAATTGAGCATGCACCTAATTTTGTACTCAGTGTGCAACTGGCTGTGTGGAGGCCATGCCACTGCAGAAGAGGGGAACCACTTGCATTACTCCTCTTCTACTCTGCATTTCCTCAGCAGGATTCTGGCCATGTAGATTTCTCTGGATATCTACAAAAAACCATTCTACCTGCAAGGGAGCATTTGCTTTATCTACACAGCAGCAGTCATGTGCAATCAATAAGTGTTTCTCTTTTCAATGGGATATATTGTGGCAGATGCAGCTTCTCTGCAGGGGGTGAGGAGGGGGACACATAAATCTATTTCTTGCCCAAATGCCTTCCTTTTATTGGAAATAAGCTTCTAAAGATGAAGAGGATACTTTATGGGCAGAAAACACTGAAATAAAGTTCCTTCTGCTGTTTGGCATTGAAAGAGCCCACGCTGTTAGACATTCACAGACTGTTTGGTTGTGTTGAATCAGCACTCCTAAGGGTGCCTGCGCAACGTTGTGCTTTCTGTTGCCTGAAGTATGCCTTGAGCTCCACAGTCTGCTAATCCCATAATAGTTCTTTTTCATTAGCATCACATGCCCATGCCAGCAGAAATATTGCCACATGCTTGGCAGAAAACTGATCGCTGCAAGGAAACACTACTGAAAATAATGTTTACTGGACAAAACATTTCCAGAGAACCAATTCAAAGCATGTTTCAGTAACTAGAAAGGATCCTAGTGTTTTTGGACAGGCTTTGACATAAGAAGGACAACAAGAAATGGTGCTAGGGTTTCTCAAACCTCCTAACCCCTGATTTGTCCATCATAAATAAGGTGAGAATATGTTGGCTCAGATTTAAGGCCCATCTAGTCCAGCCTTCTGTTCCAACTGTACCCAACCAAACACTTATGGGAAACCCACTGGCAGCACACGAGTGCAACCACTTTGTGACAAAGATGTGTAAACACTGTATATATGATCACCATGACTACTAGCCACCAACAGCTTTAACCTCCTTGAATTTTTCCAATGTGCCTTCAAAGCAATTCAGGTTGGTGATTACCACAACATCTTCAGGATGTATGTTTCAAAAGCCTAAGTATGACAAAGGCCAGGATCCTGTAAGATTGTTCCACTTGGGGAACCAAAAGGCAGAGATTCTTATTTCTCCCATTCAGCTTTTGGTGCATCATAGAGGACTACAGCAGGCAAGGAAAAGAAAGTCCTGTTCTAAGCTGCTAATGCGGTGGCTTTAGGCCTAAATGGGGACCCCACCAGTTTTATCAATCAGCATCCTGTTTCTTTATATTTGATCTCAGCAGATATACCAGGAACCAACCCAAAATTGTATATAGAAGCAACAATTTATCAACTTCCAGGGCTGGAGAGTACTTTATATTTTACTGCATCTTTTTCATTATTACATTGTTGTCCACAATATTACCCTGAACATGCCTGATCTTGTTTAGTATCTGCTATTGAACCTCTAGAAAGCTGCTGTTGGTTAACAGTTGACCGTGACTGACAAAAATCAGCTAGGGGGAAGTCAGATTTGGGGGCCTTTTTTAAAAACTCTGCTCCCCACCTTGGCCAGCAGCAGGCTCAGAAATAGCCATTTTGGGCCCTTTAACAGGAAAAAATATAAACAGGAAGGGCCCTGCTAAGCACTTTTTTAATGGGGTGGTGGCTTTATAACCACTGATATCACCAAACCAAAAATTTCCCCTAATTTCATGCCAATTTGGTGAGAATAACATCTTTTACATGTGCGTTGCCAAGTGATAAGAGAAAATATCACTAAGGCTGCCTCCATGTGTCAAGTCTCCCATCTTAGTCCACAAGCAGTCTCCAGGTCACACATGCACGCAACAAACACAGAAAGAATGGCCAATCGATCAAAAAGATGCAAACAACCTATCGCATGCTAGGTCTATGAAACAAGAGAGGAACTGTTGTCCTTTGACTACACATTTTCTACTTCCACACAAATGTTTGTCATAAACACAAAATTTTTTGTTGAGACTGAGAAAAGACATTGTGCTATCTCACAGATGAGAAGGAAAAATTGCAGTTTTGATATGTAAGGATGGACATCCTTGGTCTTACCTGAAGAATAAGTTAGTGAAACTTAAGATCTGCTTATGACCATCAACAAAGTGCAGACCACAAGAAAGGGTAGCATCTTAGCTACAGCTCCTCACATTCTCTGAACTGACCAAAGCACTAATTTCAACCATAAACAAAATAATATCCAGCTTGTTTACTCAAAGGGGTCAGCATCTCAGAAGCTGTAGGCAAATTTCAAGGATGCTAATTAACCATGTATTAGAGAAGGAGTGTCTATACCAGGGGCACATGCTCTACAGACCCTGGAGTTGCATCTCTAACCCCATTCTGTCCCCCCGCACAAACTTCAATAAGGTTCTGCAAAGCCTCTTTATGCCTATCCTTTTAAAAATGAATTTGAGTAGTAGTAGGGGTCCCAAAGATGCTTAAGGTCTTCAGTACCTGGCAACATTGCATCATAGAGCAAAAAGTGAAGTTTTCAACCAATAATTCACCCAGTTTACACCCGTACAAGGAGGTGTAGGCCACAGGATTGTTCTCCATGCTTCTGCTCTGTGATCTGACACTATCAATCATGTTGGCAAGTATAAGAGCCAAGGTTTTTTCAGTATTAGTTCTGTATTTATAAAATCCTTCTTTTCACAACTTCACTTAGCTCTTCTATGTCCTTAAACAGTTTCTAAGGGGTTAAAAACTCCTGTGATGCTTTTTAAAATTAATCTTACCTCTGACCATGTGTTTTTGTTTTGAATCTTACCTTGTTCTGAAGTTTTATATGATTTACATTTTTCTTATAAGCTCTCCTTGCCTACCCTAATAGGCAAAATAGCAAATAAGCAAATATATCTTCTAAGGCCAAAGACATCTTTATTAGTCCTGTCAGAGGCAATTTGGTGCCGTCTGGAAGTACAATTGCTAGAACCCAGCTAGTCAGCATTGCCAAACATTAGAGATGATGGGTCCTAGAGTCTAAAACACCCAGAAATTATCATGTCAACTATCTTCATATTCATCCATTGAGCAGTGGAACACAGATAAATTGGGAAGGCAGAAAAACAAAATGGTTCAATAAATAAGTAAATAATTAACTTACATATTGTACAGAAAGGGAACTTGCCTGCTGGTGGGATTGACTTTCTGTTAAGGGCTTGCTAGGGCTTAGCCTGCTCACAGCAGCACCTTTGGTTATGTAGTTGCATCCAAACTTTTATGCTCACATAACTATCTTTGACCATGTAGTGTCCAGAGGAAAAGCATATTAGCTGTTGGAAGGCATTGTCAAGCTACTATGACCAACAACGCATTCCAAAGTAACTATTATGGTAGTTAAAAGGTTCAAGGAGTGCAGTGCTAATCTGAGCACTCAGTTTTCTGCTGTGTTGCTCATGACTTTTCTGTCTATCACAAACAGTTGTTCTTTAAGATGTGCAGAATGAGATGTTCCCCAACATGGCTCCTGCTGTCTTGCTTCTATGCCAGTTACTGGAATTTAGGAGAATTACTTCTTTTTGACTACAATTCCCCAAACCACCATCATCCCCACCAGTCAGCACAGACAATAACTGTTGAATTCTGGGAGCTATTGTACTAAGAAGTAACTTTTCCAAACTCTGTGGAGGACAGCACATTATTATTTGTAGTTTACATTACAAGGAACTTTTATTTTCACATTACGGCTTGAAACAGGCCTGAATAACAGTGGACAATTGCATTTCTAAAGGAAGCACAACAGTTACTCCTTTCTCCCACTAGCCTATAGTGAAACCCATTATGATTTTATTTAATTTTTGTAACTAGCATGCCTAAGCAAATTAAGGATACATATTGGCCAAAACCCAATCGCACAACTATGTGTTCATAGCTTAAGGTTGTGTGGTAGTAGTTCCACTAGAGCCAAGAGAGAGGTGCTATCCCCAAATTACTTCCACTGGTGCACTGCACAGTCAATTATGCTAGGGATGCAAGACCAATGGTGCAATTCCATAGTGCAATTATTTATTGCTGGGCAAAATGTGTGGTATATTTATACCAGTGTAACTCCACCTAGAGTCTAAAACACCCAGAAATTTATCTCCCAGTCTTTTGCTCATGTTGGGGGGTCTCAATAAACATTTGAGGAGGTGGTGGACGAAACAAATATCCACCTAATGCCCAGCATACCAGGAATTTGAAAAGTTGCTTTTTGGGCTAGAAATCCCAGAAGCATAGCGTTGTGCTGATGCTGATGCTGCTTCAGTCTTATTAGTTTACGCCATATGAAATACAGTATATAACTTCTTGTGATCCCTGGGATAAAAACCCACTGCTATTCTCTTGGTATTAGCTGTACTTCTGTATGTATGTGGCAACACTTGGAGAACATATTTTCTCACACTTCTACTTCCCAAATCCTCTAACAAGCATGGCCACTGACTGAGGGGTTCTGGGGATTTTTAGCTCGAAAATAACTTTACAAACTTCTGGTATGTTGAGTAATAGATGGACATTTGCTTCATCCACTCTCTCCTAAATGGCTCACTGAAACCTTCAACATGAGCAAAATACTGGGAAATAAAGCAACTTCAGTCATGAGGTAAATGTATACATTAATATAAGAACAACTTCAAAAAAATGCATTGCATATTTCACACTTCTTGATAAACCAAGATCACACCATGCTCAATATCCTCTAGTACAAGTATGGACAACTGTGGCCCTCCAGATGTTTCCAGGCCTCTGCTCTCATTAGCCCTAGACAACATAGTCAGTGGTGAGGAAGTATGACAGCTTTAGTCTGGGAGGGCTGCAGTTGCCTACATGAACCTACTCAGTAGTCACAGCAATGTTGCTGCTGAAATAGCCACAGAAAACAAAAAAACAGGTTAGGAGCCTATGACACTCCAGCTGTTGGATAACATTTCCCATCATTCCTGACCTTTGAGTATGCTGGCTAGGGTCCATCATATTTGGAGGGCCAATAGTTCCTCAATTCTTTGGCATAAATTCATTACCACATGAGAAGTCTCCATGTTTGTCACCAGCAACTACCAAGAAACATGGACTCTCCCCTCACGTTATAGTGAGCCTAAGAACGTCTTGGATCAAATGAAAGTTCCTTTTGAGGCCAGAAGCCTTTCCTAGAGTGACTAGCTGATGCTTCCAAGAATCTCAAGAGTAGATCATAAAGAGGACTGTGCTTCTTCCCATCACCCCTCAGCAACTGGTATCCAGGGAACTTAAGCCTTCAGATGTTGGTGCTCTGAACTATCATAGCTGTTGGCAGACAAATCCCTTATGGATTTTTCTCATTTTCCTTTAAACCTAAGCCAATGGCTCCCATCTCATGGCAGCATAAGTTAATTTTCCATGAGTTAATTAAGTGCTGTGCAAAGAAATACTTCCTGTCATCTACTTTGAACTTACAATCAATCAGTTTCTTTGGGTGACTATTAGTACCACTGTTGAAAGAGGAAGAAAAAAAAACTCTTTATCCACATTCCCTGTACCATGCATAGTTTTATAAGGTCATCTACTTCATTCAAACCACTGGGAGGGGTGGGAGGGGAGAACTAGGTCATATATAAGGAACGTTAATTCTCCCTGGTCCCCCAACCCCATGGTTATAACTTGTGCTCCAAGTCTACCTGGCCCATTCAGGCATCACAATCCCCTCCCCCCCACTGTTTTTCTTCATAAGGTTTGGATCTATTTAGGATCATTCTAGATTACATGAGCTAGGTTGCTTGTCGTCTCCACAGACTCCATTAGACAGACATTTATAAGGCAATGAGGAGATTCCTTCCTCTACAATCTCAGTTCTGCGGAAGCCATAAGTAACCACTTGTCACAGCAGTCCGGATCATCTTAACAACCAATGTCCAATCTTCTTTGGCAACAGTTGAAATTCAATTATGTATCAGGGCACAAAAAGAAAAAAGAAAAAAAACAACTAGTCTGGGATAGAAACTGTGTTGAGTATCACCAAGCTGACAAACAATGGAAGAGCATTTAGTGGCACCAGGCTGAGGATATCTGGTCAAAAGTGTGTGTAAGCTACTGGGATAGCAAATGAATGTAAAAAGAAAAAGAGACCATCATCTCCCTCTCTATTTATCTGTCTATCATGGGCTGTATAATTGTCCTACTGGCTAAATTTATCTTGCATTTTCATTCCAGATATTTAGATACTTGTTTGTAGGTCATAACTGAAGGAAGCCCAGTAGCATAACCTCCAGCACAAAACAGTGATTACAATGCTGAATTTACCCTCTTTTGATTCTTTAGACGGCTATGATATGGATTGTACTGAGAAACATGGCATTTTTAGCCATTTGGCTCAACGTATCCCTCAACAGGTCGAGGGTGGAGTCAGTCACAGTGTAAAAGTCCTGGTGGAAGTCCAGATGCATAAGGTCCATGGGTATTCTGCACTGGCTAAGAGCACGAGGTTATGAGTCATGAACATCTGGAGTGGGTCCGTAATAATAACAAATGGAGTCCATGAGAGCAGAGATAACTCTCCTGCTGCCATCTCAACTTGTCTGCTGACACCAGAATGGAACTAACGTCCCCAGTCTCACACCTGTTTAACGGACTGGAAGGATATTTCTGGTGAGATCATCATCTCTCTGGTAGACTTCACTTAAAACCTCCGACTCCTGGCTTGGGTAATTCCCTGAGTCCTCTCCTTCCTTCTTGCCACTGTTCCGCACAGCAGCCTCAAGAGCTTTCTGCCTGCGATAGAAATGGGAGAACTTGTTGAAGATTATTGTGATGGGCAGCGCCACCACCAAAATCCCACCTAGGATGCAACCAGAGGCTGCCAACTTGCCAGCGACAGTCACTGGCACAACGTCTCCATAGCCTACAGTTGTCATGCTAACTGTCCCCCACCACCAGCAGGCTGGGATGGTGTCAAAGCCAACATCTTCCTCTTTTTCTGCTGTGTAGGCCACTCCGGAGAAAACAGACACCCCAACAGCCAAATATAGGAGAAGGATTCCCACTTCTCTGTAGCTGTGCTGGAAAGGAAAACAGAGAAAATAATCAGGCATCTGAGCAATAGAGCTTTAGGACCAATAACTGAAGGGTCCTTAGAACCAAAGGGAAGTTAATGGATCCATCTTGGCTTTTTGTACCCCAGAGAATCCAGTTGCCTCCCTTCACCTTTGTGACAGTGATGTTCTGAATTATTCTGTTTGGGAAGGTAAAAATCACACGAATCAGAGCTTGAGGATGTTACCTTTAGGGCAGTGGTTTCCCAAACATTTTGGACTTGCTGCTCCCTTGATTTACTGATCTCTGGCTGCGGCTCACCTTGCTTGGAGGGGCCATCAGGGGTCTCAATGCCACCATTGACACCCATCCTCAGCCATCCCATCTTCTCCTCAAACCCCACCCCAAATATCCCTGAGGGCTCACCTCCTTCCAGGTCCTGACTCAGGAAACTCACAGGGCCACCCAGCAAGCACCTCCACCGGAGACCATACAGATGGGGCAAAGAGACGCAAGCACACAGCCTTCACTTCCAGGTCCTGTTTGACATAGAGCTATGAACGGCTCCTCTACAACCTTCATAGCTCTATATTCTGTCCCCCTTTCTCCCCCGACACCCCTGCCTCAGTTCCTGGGTCCCCACAGAGCTTCTGCACACAGTTTGGGAACCCTTGCTTTAGGGATTGCAACTCCCAGAATCCCACTGCTACCACCGCTGATAACTGGGAGATTCTGGGTGTTGTGGTTCAAAAAAGGCAGTGTTCCCAAGCTCTGCAGACGACTAGCTATGTATAATAACAGGTGGCTTTGGGGAGAACTACATGCCACAAGTTATCTTTGAACATCTTTTGAATCAAGGGTGCAGAACACTGCTAAGCGTGCTGCCTGCTCCATCCATTCTGTCCTGCACCTGTGCCTACCCCATTCTCTTCCTTTAGGCTATGTTTCCATTAGTAGACATTTGAAAACAATTAACTTTTTCATAGAAGATTCTTAGAGGAAACAAAGCCCCATCAAATCACCGCTCAGCTGTTCGTGAACGCTGAGCTATGTACACGCCACAGCCTTAATCAATGCTTTAAAGAGCAGATACACAGTCATCTAAGTTCACATTAAACCCAATCTGCAGCCTCTTCACATTTTACAGCTGCAACATTTGAAATTGCTTGCTATAGACTATTTTTTGTTTCAACGCCAGCTGCCGCAATGTACTACTTAAAATTAACAATATGAAATAATATATCCAGATTCCTCTCCTCTCCTTTAACTGCAGACAATATGACTTATATGAAAGGAATGTCTACCCAATTAAAAGTCAATGATTTTTGCTACCATTCAAACTTTTGCAGAAGTCATGTGCTACCCTCCTCCACATGGTTAACCTGTAGAAAGCCACAGTCCTCTATCTACTGATGAAGAGTAAGCGCCGCTGAATCCACTGGGATTTACTTTCCAGTAGACATATATAGGACAGCATTGTGAATATAACTGATGTTAGTGGGACCCACAGAGCCAAGCTGAATGCAGGCTTGTCACCTGGGGTTGGGTGTTAAGAAAATTGCTAGCTCCCTGCTCCCACCATCTTAGTATCTCTTGTCCAGCATCCAAGCACCTTCCTCAATCAATATGCTTTTTAGCAGCTCTCGGAATATGATTTTTAAAAAAATTTAAAAAGCTTTGCTGACCAAACACCAGTGACTTAGACAAACAGAGCCCCAAGGGCCTGATAGCTATCCCTGCCTTCCATTTCTCTCCAACACTTGATGTAGTTTCTGTAAGGGACCAGTAATGATTTATCGGGTGCTGTCCGGCAGCTTCACAGGGCCAAGCTGTCGCTCGACTCTAAACTGGCACCACAGCCAGTCATCCATTGGTCCAGACCATGGTTTATATCCAGCCAAGACAAATACTCATCTGGTGTCTGCATCATTTGGCAGGGAGAAGATGGATTTCTTCCTGGGGAATAAATATCTGTCACTCCCCTCATTTTAATGGACTGTGAAGCAGACACTTGGAAAAAGGAGGGGGAAGATCCACACAATGCCCAAAGCCCTCTGCATTGTGGGTGATGTCAATAATACTACTGAAGGGATGATCAAGAATACTTTTGGTGCAAAGGACTTCATATAATTTGTCAATTTTTCAGTAAGAGGAACTGGGGAATGGTAGTTTCTCCCACTGCTGTGGTACTCTAACAGAAGAAGCAGTGTCAGTCCCAAACTCCCCTTTATTGGCTTGAATGTAGAAATGTTGCTGAATGACAATACTGTACTGGGTTATAGCAGAGAGGCAAATACTCCATGTCAACTTTGAGGACAGGGGATCCAGTTTACGAGCCAAGAAAATCAGGTTGAAACAACGCTGGGCTAGCAGAATACACCTCAGGATGGAAATCCCATGACCCACCTTCTGTCTTCCTTTCCTACCTGCATTGTATGAAGATGGAAGCAGCAGCTGTTAAGTGTGGAAGTAAATGTGGGATGAGTTGGTTTCCTGCCGGTGAACCATTCCCACAAGACTTTTACTACATGGCCTTCAGTCTCAACACTGACATGGAATTGTTGCAATGCCAGCTTGTGAATATCTTCTTTAATTAAAAAAGACATTGGCTGGCACTGCCAAACTCAGGGATTTAAAGTCACCAAAATAAACATAGGATTTATGCACTGCTAGTAAGTAGGTGTATAGTATTTAAAGTGACCAGTGTGCCATTTTGCTAATGTTTACAACTGACCTGGAAGGCAGGGCAGAATGGAGGGCTGGAAAACAAGCTGAGGCAAGAGTTTATGGCCAAATGTAAGATCTGAACCAAGAATTTCCCAGTTCACCAACCCCCCCCACACACACACACAGAGCGAGAGTGAGAACACACACACACAGAGAGAGAGAGACAGAGCGAGAGCGAGAGCTGTAATGCTAAATTAGTCATCTATTAAGAGATATAATTGAGAAATACATTAAACTACAAGTCATTCATTCATTCATTCATTCATTCATTCATTCATTCATTCATTCATTCATTCATTCATTCATACAAGTGATATGTATGATTAGTTGTTGTCATGAACCTTCAAGATGGAACTGACTTATAGTGACCCTAACAAAGATTTCAAGGTAAGTGAGATATTTAAGGAGTGTTTTTACCAGTTTCTTACCCCTAGTGAGTTTCCCTGGCTGAGCGGGGATTTGAGTCCAGGCATCCTCCTGAGTCCTGTTCTATTACTCTATCTGCCATGCCACACAGGGTATCCTATGGCTAGATCCTATGCATGTTTGCTCTGAAGCTAGTCCCACCAAGCTCAATGGAGCTTTAAAATAGTAACACTCAGACCCAGCTCTTCCAGGAAGCAGGGAAGGGTGGTCAACTCAAGCAGCAGATGCATGGTGGTGTGGAGGGCTGCTGCTGTACACCTTTCAGAGGATTGAAATGTTACTTTTTAAAAGACAACAGCTCCTAGGATTCTCCACCCACCATGTCCCCCATGCCACACAGTGTTCTCATTTGCTGGAAGACAGGGTGACATGTCTTGGGCAGTCTTATTTTCCCTATGATCCCATACTTCCTTCAGTTGTGGCAGTAGACAACATACTTTGCACACAGAAAGCTCTAGGTTCAACTGCTGACATCTCCTCCAAGGGTGGGGAAAGGGTCCTGCTCAAAACTCTAGAAAACCAATGACAGTCAGTGTAGGAAATACAATTAAATGGCTCCATGGTCTGTCTTCATCATGTGCCATCAAATAAATTCAGAGTTATAGTTAGCCGAGAACAATTTCCTGTGTTCCTAAACATGCAAAGAATGGCATGGTTTGCTTATACTGCATGGTTATAGCCGTTTGATACCACTTTAACTGCCATGGCTCCATCCTAAGCAATCCTGGGATTTGAAATCTGGTGTGTTCTTGTTGTGTGCTGTTAGTTGCTGCTGAGCTACGGCAGCCCAATGAATTAATGACCTCCAAAAGGTCCTGTGATCCGTAGCCCTTGCTCAGCTTTTGTCAACAAAAAAGTCATGGTTTTCCTTTGTTTGCTGCGGACTTCTCTGTTATAGATCTCAAATGCACTACCTTAAACTACAACTCGGATTTCTGACTTCCTCACCAAAGTACAAATCCTATGATTCCATAGGATGAGACTATGATATTAAAACTGATATCAGACTGCTCTAATTTTGTAGTATGGATTCAAAGTTTAAAAAGCTTTTCTAGAAGCAGAAGATTCCTCTTCTAGGTCATCAGGCTGACCTTTAACAATTCAAAGTCATTCATGATAAGATGATATTTTTTAGCCTAGCAAACGTCCTTAAACATACCCCTGTTTCTTCTTCCAAACAGACTCCAAATCATTGATTATTCTGCTCAGTAACTGCTTTGTGGCAAAGCCAAAGATGCAGACTGACCGGCTGATGACTGCAGGAACTGACACTCAAATACAATGACCTACATCATTGTCAAATAATGACAAGTTCATCCATCACTGTCATGGAGGCATGCTTTGCATGGGCATGTTAGACAAGGCAGGAGTGGCACGGAAGTCCCTCTTCATCACTAAGTGGCAGAAAAAGTGGGAAGAACCAAGGCAGAGTCACATGGCATGAACCAGCTCTGTCAGAGATGGTTATCTATAGGCAGGGCACAAGTGAGAGACAGGAAGAGACAACAGCATAGTGGCAATCCAATCACAAAATATAGCCACTGAACAGCTGTTGTTCTCAACCTTTTGTATGTTACATGCTATCAAAGAACCTGAGTTCTATTATGCAACAAACAACACTTTTTCCAAGAAGGACAGTATGTTATCATATTTAGCATTTATAGAAAGTTTTAAAGATTTACATCACTGCAGTAGCATTACTGGTTATAAATATTGACACACACACACAAAGAAACCCACAAGCAATTCCATTAGTAGTTGAACAATTTAACAATACTATAGCCAGAGTCCTACCAGCAATTTATGCATCCATTAGTGAAACAGCATAAATCACAAAGCAGACTGCCATTAATTAACAAAGTGCTGGCTGCATTCCTGGTCATACACCCAGTTGCACCACAGGCATTCAACCAGAAATACGACTAGCACTTCATTAATTAGCAGCTATTTACTCCTTGACTTAAGTGTAAATAAAGCTTCAGGCCTGTAAGTTTTTCTGTTACCATGATTGTCAAACATGAAGATAACAAATAAAAAAAGAGTACTAGCATGGGGACATATTTCATTGTTCTATCTAAAATGCAAACAAACAAAAATAACAATAGCATGATGCAAACTCTGTGTCCCACTGGTAGTGCACAAATCTCTAGCTGAGAAGCATTGAAGCAGAGCCTTGAACAACTCAAGAGGCATTAGGGGGAAAAAATAAGCAAAAAGCAGGATAGTGGCAGAAGACTTAATTAAGAACTATGATTCCCAGTGGAATAACATGGAAAGGGTGGTGGTACACGGCAAATAACTTGACGAAGATCTAAGTGCAGTTTACTTTTGATGATAATGGGTCCCAGGCTCCTGGATCAATAACACATTTTCATCTTTTTACAGCAGCCATTACTTTTACGTTTGGCCCCTCTCTGGCTGCACTAGCTCATGTGCTTGGCAGGGGGAGAGCAGTAAAACAAAGCATGCTTACCGCAGAAGGAAATAAATTAAACATCTGCTTCCAAGGGAAGTTGAAGATGCCTTCCCCCACTACACACCTCATATCTTGATGTGATGGTTGCACATCATCCTTGCATTTTTAGCGCTATTATTTCAGCTAAGTGAAGAATTCCATGAAGCCAAAAATGCCACTATATAAGGGAGGGCTTACCTTTAAAACAAACTGTGGTAAGGTGGAATAGGATTCTGGTCAGTAGATCTGAAACATTTGAGCTGAGGTATGTTCCAGCTTCTCAGGTTACAGACCAGAGGTCAGTTCCATGAAATAACTTTCGGGGCTTCAACTTGATCCTTATCTATGATTGTCAACTGATGAAAAAGGAGAGGTGGGCCCATAGACAAATGCTGCAACTTGCATCAGGCTTACAAGGCAAAGATTTCCCATTTCTTCTGGTCTAGGGTCACCATCTTGCTTGTTTCATGAAGCAATCCACAGCTCTCTCCCCCCCCCACAGTACCACCACACTTTCCCAATCCTGTAGCGTTTCATGCATTTTTTATTTTTTATTTTTGGTCAATGCAGCCTGAGAGAAAGGGCGAGGTGCATGCCAGTTACTTCACTCAACAAGCATGTTTATTACAGTTTTGTTTTACTCTTTTTACAAAGGGCTAAATGGTGTACATATGTCCTCCACTCTCCCGTGCTTTTATGGTAATAAACAACATTTGAGACAGTTATATTAAGACAAGGTATGAGTCTTTCAAGGTCAACCAGTCACTTTAATGGCTGAAATACATTTGAATCAGAGCCTGCCCCACTGCCAGATTCTACTAATTGATTCACTCTCAAACACAGGGGGCTTTAACACAACAACAGTGGGGGAGAGTGAACAATGTTATTGCAGCATTAGTCTGATCTCAGTTCTGTAATAATTCAGCAATATCTCCTCTCCGCACAGCAAAACATGTTTTAATGCAGCATTAATATAAACAAGTATTTTTTTTTGTTTTAGAGTCCTTTTGATGTGATTTAGAGCCACAGATAAGAGAAAGTTGCAACTCCCAGAATTCCCCAACCAACATCAATTAACTTTTCCCCCATCTCTATCTAGAACCTCAATCACCTCAATCCAAGCTGTGGAGTCAATAATGATCTGAGTTGCAACTCCCAGAATCCCCCAACCAACATCAATTCACTTTCCCCCCATCTCTATCTAGAACCTCAATCGCCTCAATCCAAGCTGTTCAGTAATAATGATCTGATGAGGTTTCTATGAATTGGAACATGGATGGAAAACAGATGATTCCCCAGCTGTTGTTGAACTATAGCCTCCATTTCCCCTCATCTTTGGCTATGCTGGCTAGGGCGGATGGTATTTGCAATCCAAGAATATTTGGAAGGGTACACATTCCCCACCTGGTAGGAGAAGATTCTACAGCATTTGTTGGAGAAACAGACTGTGAGAGAAGTTTAACATTGATTGGAACCTCTGCCTAGGTACCTACCCTGGCTCACACTTTCCCCACAGGATTTATTTTGACTTATTTCCTGATAGTGCTGCGACTGCTCACAGTGGGAGACAAATTATGAGTACTGTGCTGCAATTTGCACACATGGCTCATTAAGAGTCTAAAGCTGAAGCCGTGGCAGATGTTCTCAAGAGAGGTTCCTCCTTCATCAAATTTTCACAGCTGTGCTGAAAGCATCTTAGTTGGGTAGCAGTAGGTTAGCTGGAAAGCTGAAACTTAAGAAATTCAAGGCCAGTGTTTACAACTATAGTGCCCAAATGTTGTATGCTAATACACAGATCCTTTCTAACCATTCTGTATCAACCTCTCAGATGTGCCCCATACATTGGTGCTAACATGCTTCTTACTAACCCTGGGAAAATCTCCATTTAATGTCAATACTCAGTAAGGCTGAATGCAAAAACCTCAGTCCAGCTTCCTATGGTTTACAGTATATGTTTTCTTTAGGCTCACAGATTCAGAGTTTGGAAAAAGTTACTTTGTTGGATCACAGGTCCCAGAAACCTCTAGTGAGCATGAAACCCTAAGAAACATCAGCTAAGCCAGAGGAGTGATAAATAAACAAAAAAATATCATGGCTAGAGTGGTATCCTAACAAACTAATTATCTGCCTGGTTACTTAAATATAAGTCTCAGTGTGATATACTAGCAGTTTCTTTAAAGAAGCTGACACAGTCCTGCTGTCTAATGACCTAGTCATACATAATTGTCATTAACCAACTGCAGGGCAATCACATGAATATTCTGATTAGATGTTAGAAAAGTTTTTTTCAGTGGCTACCCTACCTAAGCTAGCAAGGATACTCTGAGAGGTACAGAACAGAGCGTTAACTCTGCAGAGCTTTGCATTTCTGACTACAAATGCCAGGCCCTTTAAAAACAAAAACAGCAGCAGCACAGACATCAATTCCCCAGGACACTCTTTGCACTTTAGGAGATTCTCCGTCTCAGCCACTCACTCAGAGAGCCAGTCATGCGCACATATCCAGCTGGCCCTGAAACTCCTTCTGGTGTCAGATGAATATTGGCTGTAGCAGGTAAGCCTTAGGCTGTTTGGCAGCAGGCTTGTAGATAAATGAGCTATGACCAACTCAGCTGGGAAAAAAATACATCCCAGGTTATGCACACTGGCCTTGAAATTTCAAGGTGCTCGAGGGTTTTCCTCTTTCTTTCAGTACTGATGATTAAGTTGCATACACAGCATTTCTTCTCTCACCATCCAAATCATACACAAAGGAAGCAGAAATCTGAATATAAAACAGTAAAAATGAAATTTAGATATGAAGCACCTAGATGTTTCATAATCTCTGGAAACACTTGTCAATTTAAAATCTGAAAAGAATAGGCATGTAGGCATGAGAAGGCTATGTAAGACACAGGGTAGAAACAGACAAGACACCAGCCTTATAACTGGAATGTAATAAGGCATTACCAACCCCCCAGAAATTTTTTTCAGAATTTCTGTGCCTACCAAAGCAAACTGCAAATGAATCTTGTACTTATCTCCTGCCGACTCATTAACCAATTTTCAAACAAAACAAACTAATTTGCAACTTTTGGAGTTGTAAAATCTTGTAGTAAGAAAAAACAAATGTACATTAACTCTTAAGAGAGGTCTGCTTCTAACTGAGAACTTGACACCTGTTCCTGCATACAAAAGCTGAATCTGAGTACTCTGTATACTATGCTCTTAAACTAGTCTGAGGATAAGAAAGGGTTTCTGTAATTTGTTTTGAGCTGCAATCTCACACACACTTACCCAGAAGTAAGATCCACTGTACTGAGTGGAATTTGCTTCTGAGTAAACGTGTACAGGATTGCATTGTAGATCATGAAAATAAGCTCTCCAGAAATTAGAAATGATATGTAAGCAATGATATAATAGTAATCCTAGAACTGCAGAACTGGAACGGATCCTATGGATCACCAAATCCAGTCACTATTAAGGAGAGGAACTAAACTCCCAACCTCTGGCTCCACAGCCAGGTACCCAATTCACTGATAGGAATAAAATATACTATCAAAATATCAGAAGGTGGTATCCCCTTGACAAGTTGATTTGGAGGGTTTTATATCATTCTAAGGCATTCCTACCAGTGAATTGAGCGTCTGGCTGAGGAGCCAGAGATTGGGAATAATTTAACATCAAACAGATACAAAAGGAACGAACCATCTCTACAACATTTGAGTCAGACACAAAACCAGACTCAGCTGACAAAGAGTACCCCTAGCTACTGCTGCAACATGATTTTGAAGACATGATGAAGAATCCACCACTTCCTCATGAAATAGAACTTGAGTTTCCCCAATATTTAGAACCTAAGACATAAAACTAAGCCTATTACAGGAAGGGTAGGGAAACCTCTTTTAGCCTGTGGTTTGAATTCAATTTCAGTTCTCAAGAGTTGTGTTGTAACGGTGTAGAAGAAAAACAAAAAACAAAATGAGTTCAACTAATAATACTGGCATGTTTTAGATTCTAGCATTTCCTGCCAATAATTAAGCCTTAAGAAAATCATTCCAAGCATTTCAAATGTGGAGGGCTGGGGATGGGAGAATCTTATAGAAAAGTTGGGAGACTATACAAATATGCTATCATGGGGAAGGGAGTGCCATCATCTGCAGAATCCCATGGGGTCAGATTCTGACCCAGTGAGAGCCAAATTAGGCCCCAGGACTTGAGGTTTTCCATGCCTGTATTACAGATTTACCTTTAAGGTGGCTCCTAAAGACCTCAGACCTGTTGAATGTCTTGCCAGCTTCAAAACCCGGAAAATCCTCATGAGACGAAACACTTGCACCACCTTGCCCAAATTCCCTAGCTCTGAGTCACGCCCCATGGTCAAATCCACCAAAAGAGTGAAGTAGAAAGGCAACACTGAAATAATATCAATGAGATTCAAGGGGTGCTTAAAAAACTTCCTCAGGTTCGGCGCCAACAGCAAACGGGCGGTCACCTCAAAGGTGAACCAAGAGATGCAAAAGTATTCCACATTTTGCAACACAGAGTCATCCTTCACATTGCCCTCCTCGTCCTCCTGTTGGTACTCGGGCATGCTGTGGATACACATGGTTGCTATGGAAGCCAGTACAACACTGATGGACACAAAACTGAAGAGTTTACTGGGGATGGAGTAGCCTGGGTTCTCCATGGTGAGCCAAAGTCGCTTGCGCAGATTGCCACAGCGCAATGTGCTGTAACGAAGCAGGTCATGGTTGAAATCCAAGATCTCATCCGGGGAGGTGTCCACACTGCTGACCTCACTTTCTTCATCCCAATTGTGGTGCCGACTCTCCAGTTTCCGCTCATGGTAGCGGTAGCTACAGCATGAGTCAAGGAAGAACTCATTAATGCCCCAATACTCAATCTCCTGGCAAAAGGAGAAGACACACAATTCCTCCATAACATGGAGCTTGCCAGTCTGGTAGAAATGGAGTACATACAGAAAGAAGCCAGGATTTCGGTCAAAGTAGAACTCCCTTGCGCTCACGTCATAGTCATCACACAGTTGCAGGATAGACTCCTCAGAGTCACAAGACAGCAAGCGCCCCAGCCGAGTATCGGGGAATTTGGAAAGGGCACTTGAGCTAAGTCTTCTTCTCAGGCCCCCAACATTGATGTTGATGACATCATCCTCAAAATTGGGATCCCAATAGTTTAAGGTCTTGTTGACCATGATCAGCAGAGCTGGGGCTAATCCGGCCTGCAGGCAATACACAGCAAGAGAGAGGGAGAGAGAAAGAAAGAAATTGCATTTAAGACACCTGATTTTTGGTGAAGAAAAGCAGTAGTTCAAAACATTTAACACAAATAATATGTGTCTCTGTGTGTAGTCACATGGCTAGTTAGAATACCTAAATGTAACTTCTTATATCAATTTGTCTACCGAATTACCCTTTCAGCTACAAATAGCCAGGCACTATCTAGTAACCAGAGGATAGAGAATGAAGTCTTGGCATGCTGTCTAATTGTTTTAGCAGAAGGTCAAAACTATACACTAAAATACAAGACTTCTCATGCAGACCTCAATAACTGCATTTTTAGGCAGAAGGAGATCCAGGAGGGAGGGAGGGAATTTTAGTGGAGGGGGGATGTTGCATAACCTTTCTGCCTGCCTGCTTGTTTCCTCCCCAACCCTGCCACATGTTTGTGAGGGAATGAACATGTGCCATGATTTATACAAGGGTAAAAAGTGTGCATGTGTCTGTGTGTCTGTGTGACTGTAGCAAAAAAAATGGTAGGTGGCTGAAGGGGAACAGGAACCTTTCTCCTTCTTCCTGGAATAATTGCTACAGAGATATGCACACCTGACAAAGAGACTTGGTTGAAGACTTGGTAGGCGCCCCACAAAATTTGGCCATTTTTTCCTCAGATGACAGTTTGCCCCAAAGCAAGTTAAGATCTTTTTTTGGCAAGGGCCCTAAAATTTCCTAAAACAAAATGAATGCTTCCCCATGTTTCCTGAGATAAGGTGTTTCTCAAACTGGTGAGTCAAGTTTAAAGGACAAATCTAAAACTCTGGTTGATTCATGGAAATAATTTCAAGGTTATTTAGAATAGGGTGGGGAATCTGTGGCCCTCCAGATGCTGTAGGACTGAAACTCCCCATCAGCACTAGCTAGCAAAGTCAATAATACAGGATAATAGAAACTTATCAAAGTCAATAATATAGGATAATAGAAACTGTCCAACAGAATCTGAGGAACACAAGTTCTAAACCATGCTTTAAACTCGGTTAAATATTCAGATGAACAGCAGAAATCCAATCCCTGTAACTCCCTCCACACATAAAACAGAGCAAGTAAAAGTTACTTTTTTGGAATGTAACTCACAACACTCAAGGTATCCTGGGGGATTCTGATATATGTGTTCTGGAAAGTAACTTTCAAAGCTCTGACTTCTCCCCTAGCAAATTGTAAGGCAAATATTTGATTACTTAATTCAGAAAGCAACAGCTAAATAAGCTGATAACCACAATGATTTTGAACAAGGATGAAGTTATATAAAGTTGTAGTCCAGAAATGAAACAAGATTCTAGCTCTTATCATCTTACATACCATATTCATCACTGAGCTTCATACCAAGAAACAGACCCAAATAAGCAGGTCAAATCTGAGCTTCACATCTCTCAAACTTTAGCTCTGTACTCCAAAGAGCAGCTCCTAATTTCAGCAAAACAGGAACAATTTTGTCAGCAAAGTTAGTGGTTAGAAATTCTTGGCACCAAGCAAAGGATGACTCACAACCCAATGTCACCACACCATGTATTTCACTGAACCATCTCTCCAAGGGAAACTTTGCAGAGTAGATGGTAGCAGGGAAGGAAAGTTCTCGTTGTAATGTCACCCTTCTTTCCAGGGTGACATTATAGCTATTCTTTTAGAAGAACTGCTATAAGCTGAAGAGGCTCATCAGCAGAAGATCACAATCTGTAACACAGTCATTCCCCCACTTAACTGGGGTTAGTTTTTCAGTTGTGGAGCCACCCCCAAGACAACTCTGATCCATCAGAATAAAGGAAACCATGCTTGCCCCTAAGAAAATTCCAAGACCCACAATCACAGATTCATACCTTTTATTAGGACCAAAATATATACACAATATGGTGTCAAGCATTTGAGATTTCCAGATCGCTGGATATCACAAGAATCAAGTTTGATGGGCAGTAAGGAAAGAAGTGGCAGGGGAGGGGACTGTTTGTTGATGATTATGTCAATCCTGTATGATCAGTCTTTAAATGGAAGAGGAATCACAGACTTCAATAGATACTAGGCTCTACAAGGTGTTGTTGAAGTTTCAGCTTACACTAAGGGGTACAGGGGGAGAGAGAAAACACACATAAGGGCCGATTCCCCTCTACTGTCATCTATGTAACCTGAAACCTGCATAACACCTAGTAGAGTCTAGTATCTATTAAAGTCTGCAACTTTTTCTCCCTTCCATCCTATGACCCTTGCTACGCAGACACCATGATTTAAGTGAGCCATTTCTGTCCCTCTCCCCCAACTCCACTACCTTAACTTTTGCAAAAACTTACTTGATGAAGCTATCTGGAGATCTGAAAAGCAAACCCATCATTTTGTGCATATTGTATTTGGTTGGTTCAAATAAAAGGATATTGTTGGTAAACAAAGTTCTTGATTCAAGATATATCAGTATGATTGTTGTGGATTTTTTGGGCTCTTTGGCCGTGTTCTGAAGGTTGTTCTTCCTAACGTTTCGCCAGTCTCTGTGGCCGGCATCTTCAGAAGATAGCACTCTGTGCTCTGGTGCAGTTTGTTTGGGAGTTGAGTATTTATGACTGTGAGATCAGCTTTTGTTCTTTTCAGGAGATGGGTAATTAGTGTGTCTGGTTGTGGATGTATTGTTGAGATAAGGAGGAGGGATTAACTGTCACTGTGATTGATGGGTGTCATTAGCTGGTCTTTTGTGTGTAGTGATCCCCAGTCCTTGTGGCTGGGTAGAGTTTGTTGACCTTTTGCACGCTGTATGTTTCAGAGCTGGGAGCCAAGTTTTGATGAGTTTCAAACTTTCCTCTTTTTTTGATGAAGTTCTGCTGGTGTTTGTAGATTTCAATGGCTTCCCTGTGCAGTCTAACATAATGATTGCTGGTGTTGTCCAGTATTTCAGTATTTTGAAACAGAATTTCATGTCCAGCTTCTTTCTTCTATTTCTTCCAGAAATTCTATTTCAAAATACTGAAATACTGAACAACACCAGCAATCATTACATTGGACTGCACAGGGAAGCCACTGAAATCCATTTTTGGGTCTGTTTCAGCATTTACCTTCTGACTTCACTATAGGAGGGAATTATTTTTAACCATACAGATAAAAATCTATTGTAACTGTGGCAAATGGGAGTTTGAAGTCACATTTATCATGGAAGAACACTTGGCAGAAAGCTGGAACAAGCTATGGTTCCCTGATGAGAACACATTTGGTAATAAATGCAGATGAGATATTGTAAAATGGCCTTTAAAAGAGAGCCTAGTGTAAAGGTGGGGTGATAATTGGGCTTTTTGTCAGTTATTTGCAAGGTTACCCTAATAGTGTAGCAGTAAAAATATTCAAAACAGTCATTAGCCAAAAATTAAGCATGTTTTATTCAGTGAGCTTTACTTCCAAGTAGGACTGCAGCTTAATTTTAGATTTTTGAACCATGATTTTTAAAAATTACTCAAGCCTTGAATTTGAATGTATACCAGTTTCTTCCAAAAAAAAACCTACCCCAAAACCCCACCAAAACCAAAACAAACAAAAAAACATGTTTCTTCTTATACGCCCAGTGATCGAATTTCTGTAGCTGACTTTCTGATGCATCGATGACATGTGCAGCTTGTGAGTGTGGAGGGGATCCCCCTACCCAATTATGGGGTAAAATAACCCACTGTCTTGGTGTATGAGCAACCCTGATCAATAGTACTCTTTAAATCCAACCCTACAAGAGCTCAGATCTGAGCGTTCCCTTATTGTGGGATCTTTTCCCTGCTCCAAAATTACTTCTCAAATATCCAGTTTAATATTCCACAGCTCAGTGGCTTCAAAGCCGTGCGACTGATGTTGTGTGGTTTGCGTTAAGTACCGCCATCCTATCGGTCCTCCATTTCTGCGAGAAGTGTTATCAAGTAAGATCAAATAATATCTGTTAATTACTAAAGATCTGAAAGGAGCCCCTATCCCTTCAACTAGGAAGACGGCAGCTGGATTATTTTCTTGCAGATGAATTTTAATACACTGGTGCTGTGTGTGGTTCCTCATGATGTTATACAACAGACATTGCCTTTAGAACGTGTACCTGTTAGGACACTGGCAAAAAAAATCTCCTAAATGTTAGGATTCCACACAGGTTTGCTGGTCTCTGGGAACAATATGAGCAGAAAGGGGTTGTTTGGTTAGTTCCTGCAGTTTCTGAAAATATGTAATGATAATCGATATTTTGGCTCCTATTGGAGCCAGTATGATATAATGATTCGAGTGCTGGGCAAGGAGCTGCAGACTCCCCATTCAACCATGAAACTCCATCCAGTCACAGTTTCTCAGCCTGATCTACTTCACAGGGCTGTTGTGAGCATGAAATAGGGAGGAGGAGAGCTACGTGCACAACCCTGAGGTCTTTAAAGAAAAGGCAGTATATAATTGTAATAAATAAATAGTTTATATGATGTATGCTCCACAAAGAAAAGACATGCTTCCTTTAGTGATTTTGCACAGGTATGAGTGATGTCTACTGGCTACCATCATGTCCAAATGCATGACTAAACAGGCTGGATCCTGCAACACAATGAAATTAACTTGGTTTCAATGGGTCTATTGTAATACGGTCAAAGTTTCCCTCGACGTTTCCGCTAGCACTGAGTGGGGACCCCACCCCCTCCACGTGGGGCTCCAGCCACAACTGGAAACAAATGAGCAGCAACACTGGCTCAGCTGTGCGAAACTGATGCAGTGTTGTGTGGCCACGTGACCATGCAGTTTAGAGGAAGCATTTAAGATGATCAATTCTGGCTTCAGTCCATTATACTTTATATACTTTATGTACATAAACACATAAGACAGTTAATACTGTAGAGGTGAAACAGAGAGTATGGCTACACTAGAAAGAAAGGAGTGAACTAGTGTGCACTGCTCAGGAACAGTTAGGTTGATTAGAATGATCTAATCAAGCCTGACCATGCACATGGAAATTACTGCTGCCAATATT